CCAACCAATCACAGCAGATGGCCCCGCCCCTCCCTGAGCCTGGTTCTGCCGGAGGTTTCTTCCTGTTAAAAGGGAGTTTTTCCTTCCCACTGTCGCTAAAGTGCTGCTCATAGGGGGTCATATGATTGTTGGGCTTTTCTCTCTGTATGTATTATTGTAGGGTCTACCTTACAATATATAGCACCTTGAAGCGACTGTTGTTGTGATTTGGTGCTGCATAAATAAAATTGAATTGACTATCATTGATGTGTCTGCACATTTCAATACATTTATGAACTAATTTCCTGTTTTCCTTGCAAAATAGAAAATATAAAGACACGGCACTACATTAATAGAGTCTAGCTCTTGTCTTGTGAAGTCATAAGTGAACACACGATAGAGGATGTTTGAACAGACAGGTTCCAGATTGTGCTGTGTTTACAGGACAGCAATCAAACTGAAGTGGACACGTGGGTGGAGCCGATGGTTCTCACTGATTATCGCAGACAGAGGTCTGAGTTTAAAACTTTAAGTGTTACCACCATCACTCGGTGGTAACACTGGAGCTCTGTGTGATTTGGTCGAGTGAATGTTAGTGTCTGTTTACTCGGTGCCACTCCCGGAAGCCAGGGACGCAGACTGAGCTGCACTGTTGCCATCTGCTGATGGATGATAAGCACGACTTGGTTCAGACGTCGCCTTTCTAAACCTCGTTTTACTGAATCCCTCTGGTGTCACAAGAACGTATTAAAGAAAGGCCATAGTCAAACCTTTATGTCGTTCAGTGCTGCATTTTTAAGAGAGAATTACATAGATGTGTGTGCGTTTATATGTCAACCCTGCTGTGAAGGTGCTATTTTATCCACTCCTTGAGGCATCGAGTAAAACCGTCTGAAATTTCTACTCTTGTCTGAACCTTTCACATGATTAATTAGCTATTGTGATCCATAACGATCACACGTTTTACTTTCATTTCTACTTTACTGTTCTTGAAGAGCACAGGAGAGGATAAAAGGTGTGATTTTGCATCTGTATTCCATCAATGTGATTAAAATGCATTTAAGGCGTTTATTTCAACTGTTTAGGAATTACAGGCATTTTTATACATAACCTCCCATTTTCACAGGCTCAGAAGGACAGCTGACTGACAAGCAGTCTGACAGGAAATGTCTGGATTCTTCCCTCATGTCGTTGGAAATAAATCACATGACACACCTGTGGTTGATCCACTGTTTAAAGGAAGAAACACACAGGCCAGCTCAGACGGCCAGAACAGTTCATACAATCGTGAAGCTGAAACTGCACTTTAAATGAGTCACGGTTACTACAGGAAGTATCGTTATCCAAGTATTTCTGCTTAGCGCTGTTGCCTCGCAGCAAGGTGGTTGGTTCAGCGTCGCAGGCCGGGGTCTGTGTGGAGTTTGCATGTTCTCCCTCCTGTGTCTGTGTGGGTACTCCGCCTTCCTCCCACAGACGTGCAGTTAGTGGGGTGAGGTTAACTGGTGATCGTGAGTGCGGTCTCTCTGTCCCTGCAACTAACTAGCGATCTGCCCCCGCCTCTCACTCTGGGACAGGTTCCAGCCCCCCAACGACCCTGATAAGGATAAGTAGAAGAGAATATTCACGTGTATGCGAGACGATTAAAATTCAAACTGAGTTCTGTGTCGCCGGCTTCAGAGATCACTCAGTTTTACTCAAACTGCACTAAAGCTGCACGTGGTCTCGGATAAAAGTGCGCATATTTTTATTTTTTTTTTTAATCACACGGAGAAACAGTAACAAGCAGAAAGTTTGATTATCTGAGTCATGCTCAGGAACAGCTCCTCGTAGGCCTCCCCCGTCCTCCTCATGATGCATTTTGAAAATGAAGACGCAGGTCAAAGGTCAGAGGATGGAGACGAGGAGGCAAAAGCCTCTTAACTGCCGAAGAGAACATTTTCCTACAAATAGGTAAGATGCAGTCGTCATGATTATCAGGAACGACACGTGTTAAATAACCACAGCTTGTACACACCATTTAGAAAATTTATTCATTCATATTATTTATATACACACACATACAGTTATGTTTATATGATAATATATTTCTATAGAAATCTATGCATACTGCATCCTTTCAGAACATGTCACTGCAATAATAGAAGTCGTGGAGAATAAAAGGCTGATAGTGTTTCAGCAGCAGCTCTGCTCATGTCTTTACATTACAAACACTTTTACAATCAGACTTATGTGAAATCGTCATACATGGACCTGCATCAGCTACAGAACAGAGTCTCTGTAAAAACGTAGAGACGTGTAACGAAGCGTGCAGAAGCTGCTGGTGACTACGAGGTGACGTTTCTGTCCAGACTCTCGGAGATGTCACGAGAAAGAAGACACAGTCCACAATTTCATTTCATGGCTTCAGTCTTCATTTATACTGATCTCAGTAAAGAGCGACTCTGACACGTTCGATTTGTCACAATGCCCAAATAATTTAGAACACAAAACAAACAAGTCATGGCACGAACACACGTGGATGAAATCAAGCGTCTGCTTCCCAAATCTGTCCAAAGACGCCACGTTCAGGTTTCCCTGCTGCTCCAACTGAAAGCAGCTTTCCTGCACAGACTCCTCAGTTTCGGCTGCTTTTAAAGAGAACTTTACCTCCAGCGCGTTTTTCGTCCCGCGAGAGCAGCACCAGTTCAATTTAACGTGCACCACCGCAGGGAAACGTTTAGACTCAGACCCAGAAGCAGTCACATATTGCACTATGAATGCAAAAATACCATCGACACTATACAGGAAAGTGCATCTAATCTTTGTACAGCTGCTACACACAAACACGAGAGACATGTACACCAGTCAGAGTGTCTGTGCGTCTGCATTACCGTCACACAGGCCGTCACGCCCTACAGTACAACTTCCACTTGACTTTTTAGACAAAGAGCTAAACCCAAAGGCCCGTGCAGGTGTGGTCGGGTGGAGCTGGTGCTCCAGGCGGCCTTTAGGGCTGCTTTTGTCTCGGGTGCAATGTTTTCAGGTGAAGTGGGGGCGGACGGCGTCAAGTACTTTAGGAAAGTTCAGGAATGGACCTTGAAGGCGAGCAGCTGCTCAGAGTGCATGTTGTTGAGGGAACGCAGGTCGGGCAGCTTGAGCAGCAGTTTGGTGAAGATGGAGGCCTCGTTGGGGTGGTTCTTGGTGATGAGGCTCCGCAGGGCGCGGATAAGCGTCTCCTGCAGGGCCTCCACGGAGTTCACGTTCTCGATGCCAGATCGATCTGGGAGAGGAAGAGGTAGCGGGGAGGAGAGGCCTCAGTTAGCGATACGTTGACAAACAAGAAAAACGGCCGTGTGACCCGCGTGGTTAGTCGCAGTCTGGTGTCAGGTTAACGTGTTTGTGATAATGACATGATGGACTGTCACTCTACAGCATATGATTGACCAAAGTCAGTGTTCAGCGTGTCCGTGATGCTCTAGGAATAAATGCAATTTTGCACAAACTGAAACCGTTTGCCTCACGTGTGCTCAGGTCACAGCAGAGGAATATTTTGAAGCCTGACTCAGTTTAAATGTGTTTACACTGAAACAGCTGAGCTCAGTCCTGCTGTGAGTGTTCATCAGATAAACAGCAGGTGGCGCCAACTCGCCAATCTGTACCATTACAGTGCAGTCAAAGCTCAGGCAGGAAAAACAAAGTTAATGAGCCAATTTTTCTACCTGTTCTCATCATTTTGGATACAAACACTGACGGTGGTTTATGCGTCGCTATCAGTGGATGGATGGTCTGATAACCCACCTGCAGAGACCAGAACCACAGCAGTAAACAGGCTCATCTCCTCCTCACTGAGACCCAGGTTCATGAGCTTCTCACTAAAGTCAAACATGGAGTTGAGCAGGTCCCCGGCCCCCAGGGCCCTCAGACTGTCCACGCTGTACCTCTTCCCTCCGAGAAAGGTGACAGTGCGGTCCTTCACGTCAAACAGCGAGGCAAAGCGAACCACCAACACCTGCAGGCCACAGGGTGCCCCAGATTACTACAGACAGACTAAACAAGACTGCAATACGTAAGAAAATTCAATGAATTACCTCAAAGGTGCCAGCCTTCAAAAGGCTGACCTGGTCATGCTGGGAAAGCTCTCTGAAGCCTGGGATCTTCTTGGCAAACTCGACCACCTCCCTGACCGCCGGGGTGAAGCTGTGGGAGAATTCCTCCCACACCTCGTGGCCGGACTTCTGAGGGTCCACGTGAGGCGAAGTGTTCATCGGACAAACCTGCGGATCAGAGCGGGCCTTCAGTTTGGACACGAGTGCATCCACACCTCTGAAACCTCCTTTTCACTAACTAATCACAGACACGATGGCTTCATGCTGCTGTTGGGACAAACGGAGTGATTTTCATTGAGCTCTAAAACAGAAGCTTCGTTTTGGTGAGACTTCTAGAGAGTTTGTTTTTGCCCTAAAAGCAGCTGTTCTATTCACATCTATTCATGCATACAGAGGCAGGAGCATCTATCCAAACAACAAACAGACACTTTCATTTAAAAGGCTTTTTATTTTACAAAGTCCGCTTTTACACCTTGACATTGATTTTTAATGGCTTGCCTAAACTGTTACCATCCACTGCCCTCTGTTCAGCTTACCAGATGCATCCTGTTGCCTCCTCTCCACAGGGCGATGCTGCACGATCCATTGGTGGAGCCTTCTGTGGACGGTGCCCTGAAAGCTCCATGTGTATATGCTGGAAAGTGGCTGGTGGCAGCCGTCCTGGACAGCCCGAAGGGGCACTGGTTGACCTCCTTCTGACCCTGGGGGTCAAAGCTCAAGGTGGAGTGCCGGGCCACCGTGACCGGGCTCTTGCGGTGGTCCCAGGTGCCCTGCCGCTCCTGCATCTGGTTGTCGGTGGGGGTTTTGGCGAGGCCACAGCCGAGGGTGTTCGCAGGCTGCGAGGCCCGGGAGGGCAGGCTGCTCTGCTCCTGGTTGTACATGAAGGTTTCCTGGTGGGCCCTGGTCACCGAGCCGATCACCTCCTCCTCGCTGCTGTCCGACGCGCTGGGCGAGGCCGAGCTGGGGCTGGTGTCCATCGACGCGGCGGGTTCTGGGTCTAAGCTGGAGTCTGATTGGCTGGAGTGAGGTGAGGAGGAAGGAGAGCAGGAGGCGGCGGGGACGGCATCGTCTGAGGTAGGCTCGGTGGCGCCGGCTGGCAGCGGTTTAACAATGGGCAGGCTCTGGCTGCTGTACAGCTGGCTTTGCAGCTGGCTGTTGTTCATCATGTTGTTCATGGCGCTCTGCATCTCCAGCAGCATGCGCTGTTTCTCTCGCTTCGGGATCCGGCCGAAGCGTACAGCTGAAGAGCGAGAAGAGAATCTCCTTGATTTTTGCCCAAGTCTCAGACATTCGTTAAACAGGAATTTAAAAGGAGGACATCTTACTCTTCTCCAACCGTTAGCTTCACACCTCATGATTACTGCCTTCAAAACAAATCCAGTCATACTGAGAATTACTGCCCCTCAACCATGTCGTCATTAAACTCCAACGTCCTTCCACAGTCAGTGATGCTGGACTATTTCCATCTGTCACTACTAACTGAGCCAAAAGGACTAATGAACAGCATCTTATTAAAACAACAATAACAGAAAAGGCTCAATTAAAAGTTTGAGCTTCGTGATTTCTTTGTTAAAGTGTTTCTTAATGTTGTATTTTGAACACTTTGGTTTTCATGTAGCGCTCTCCTGCAGAATGCCTCATTTTCCATTCACACGCATTCACACAGGTACGTTGTTTCTCTGCTAACACTCACACGAGCAGAACTCTGCCTGAGGAAACTTTGGCAAGCAGACGGGGGAATCTAACCACCAACCGTCTGACTGGAAAATGACTTATTCGCTTTTATAGCTTTGAAATTGACCGTAACCTGTTTTACGTGTTAGAAAATGGCGTGCTGAGCGTTACTCTGTGAAACCAGCCTCGCTAATCTCTTCACCGAACACAGCGCGAGCCAGTGAACGAGCGCGGGTACTCACAGTCTCTGGACATGCCCACCAGCAGGCATTTCTTGAAGCGGCACTGCTGGCAGCGGTTCCTGTTGATCCTCATGATGGGGCAGCTCTCGTTCTTCAGGCACTTCTTGTACTGGATGTTCTGCTGGATGCTCCTCCTGAAGAAGCCCTGAGTGTGTTCACAGACACAGACAGCTTACTTTTGTCCTCTTTCTTAGATAAATGAACAGTTTCTACAGTGTGACTTATAACTGTCTGAATTATGTGCGCGTTCGCCCTCTAAGGAGCGCTGTGGTATGTAGCACACTGTTCTCCAGCTAACTGGGCCACACAGCACCATGAAGCATGATGGGTAACAGATATAAATAAAGGCAGAGTGAACTAGTTTCAGTCTGAGCTGTGCAGATGGCTAAAGTGACCCACTTCAACCAAAGACGCCGCAACGCTCGTGTCTGTGTCGCACAGAGACTCATCCTGTGCTGCCTGCGAGTTCACACTGCGTCGTATCAAAGAGGCAGCCTCACCTTGCAGCCCTCACAGGCATGGACGCCATAGTGAAATCCAGAGGCCACGTCCCCGCACACTTTACAGAGCAGCACCAGGCCGTTGATTTCTGAGAAATACAAAAACAAATTCTTAGTTTATCTGAAAAAAAAACCAAAACTGGGAACCCACCGATTATTCCCAACGAGGTCACCGAGTCGTTACACCAGTGCTCCTCCTGAACAGTAGGTGCCGCCACTCACAAAAAACCCCAAACCCTCTGCATCAGTCCTGGTACAGGAGTAGAAGAAGAGGAAACTAAACCACTCTCAAATAACCTGCTGTGCTATATTATGTGCAGGGCTCGCACAATCGCTAGCCCGACGTCCCGGAGCTAGCGATATCTCTGGTCGGGCGACCAAAATCTATCTCAGCCCCGCCCGTCGGGTTATCATATAGCCTGACGGGCGGGGCTGAGATAGCTAGCTAGCGATTCTGCGAGCCCTGATGTGGTACAGTTCACATCCCTGCCCGTCACTACAGCCTCAACATCACACTGCTGTTTCTGATAAACTGCTCTGTGAAGGTTTATGTTGAGAATTTATTTATAGACACAAACACGTCACATGTAAAAGTCATTAGCCGTCTACAGGAAGCTCGTGCTGGCTCCGTCTTGGGTTTCTCCTAAACAGCCTCTGGTTTCATTTCAACTGTCTTCAGAGAGAACATTAGTTATGAGATGTTCTTGGTGCAGTGACGGCGGCTGAAACAAGCTACCTGGAAGTTAAAATGTCAACATTTGTTTTGGGCAGATTCCAATAATGTCCTTGAGATGTTTAAGTCACATAATGCTCTCACTGGCCTGACATGCTGCACTGATTCCTAGACTTAACACAGGCAGCATCTGAAGACACATATGAGAGTGTCCAACTTACTTGTGATGCCAGTCTTTGCTGTGGACGACGAGCGTCCACCTTTCTGAGTCCGTGGCAATTTTAGGCCTCCTACGGCCATCGTGGGGTCGAGCGGCTGCCTCAGCTGTCCGTGGCTAGGCGGGGACCCGCGGGGCGGGGAGGACGACTGGTAGCTGCCATTGGAGGAGTCGCTGTGACACGACTCTGGGCTGGAGGCAGAGCTGGACGAGCTGATGTAGGCTATTACGCCTCCTGGTGAGCGATCAGCAGAGAGGGGAGGAAACGGACTGTGAGAACAGGGACTGTAACAACGAAGCAAAGCCTACTGTGTGAGCTTGCACTGAAAACTTCTCATGTATTTTATGAGGAAAATAGACAGTATCAAAGATGAATGTAGCTCCTGAAACGTGACCTGTATTGGTCTAATGGTCTGCAACCAGCCCTCGTGTCCCTGCGACCTCTGTAAACGCTTTCCTCACTTTACTTTCAGGTCATAGGAATCCATTCAGTCAATTATGGTCTTTATTAGAGTCAATAAGGACGCTCACCCAGGAGCTGCTCAGTGGCTAACTGCTCCTCCAATCACAACCATCAGAGGATGAGTGTGTGGTTCAGGACCCACCCCGTGCTCCTCATATGCAGTCTCAGAACAGCAAGACGGCAACGGAGAGAAACGCTCAGCTGAGGGCCTGACAGACACCTCAGTAATGGGTGACCTCACTGTAATAAAATGAGTCCATCTCGTGCCTGATAACACATTTCTGATGTTTTTAATGTGCACTTTATCAAACTTTACTGATTGTTTCTGCATTAGGACAAAAAGGAAACTCACTTCATCGTCACACTCTACTGCAATCACAAGAAGCTACCAGATGTGCGTGTCTTCTTTTGCTCGTTGTCAGTTACACCGTTTATTTCATCGGTATAACCTGAGCCCTGTTTGAACGCTGTAATGTTTCTGTAGGTGGCGCTTTTCTCCCTGACTTACCCCCCCAGCTACAGACACCTTCCCTGTGTGAAAACCAACCAGCTTAAAGTAAAGAGGGCAGACGAGAATACCACAAACATTTCTTGGGCCAGTAAACGCCGCAGAGACGGGCTGCTGCACCAGGGAGCTCCACCCTCAGCACAGGCTGACCTGATTTCTTCCTCTCCCATTCTTTATGATTAGGTAACAGCAATTACATAATGTCAGCCTGGCAGGGGTGTGTATGTAGTTCAGTCATTCACAGCCGTAAAAACAGATCGAATACATGCCTTCATTTATACACTTTTCATTTTAAAAGAAATATATAAAAATTGTCCCCCATTAATACACGGCAAAGGAAAAGTATGAGGTGAAAAAGTGCCAGTGATGACTCAGAGCTCACGCAGCCTCTTTGAATGCTTCAAAAATGAGGTTTCGTTCATGGGATTATCAGGTTACTGTGTATCCAGCATCATGAGCGAAACAGGAAAATATGAGTCAAACCTGTAACTAACTCAGTGACCGTCTCCAGCTCTAATGTTTATCTAACTCTGCGTAATTAGATCATTTTATACGAGCTGGAAACAACCGAGGCTGCGTTTACGGCCCTCGGGAAATATCTTAGTTCGAGTGCTGTCAGCGGACAGACGATGAGCTCGAGAGTTGAGCAAACGAAGACAACTGTGGACTTCCGGTTTTTTATTATTATTATTTTATTCAATGTTGTTTTTATTAAATCAATGGTAACATAGAAACTGAATACAGCGGGTCATATCGCGACGTTTATTATTAATCATGTTACTAACGTACGTTTCTTACACAAAAAGCCTTCCCCGTCCCATGAGCAAAGCACCACAGCTGCTGGTGTTGGGGTTTAAACGCACCCCACCTGGAGCACGCATGCGCTTTCCCCGGGAAAACTAGGTCAGCTCGCGTTGCCATGAGAGGCCTCACGTGTATCACGGCGAGACTGCACACATCGAGCTGGGAGAAATTATGCAACGCCTACGTCACTGCACCGCGCGGCCAATGAGCTGAGACGCACGGGGAGCGTAAACACAAGTGCACATGGCTAGGCTGGCGGGTCCATGTGAGCCGAGATGACTGCAGTGCCACGGAAGCCAAACACTGGTGTAACAACAACCGCCCACGGTGGCCCTAACCCACTCTAACAGTAACAAGTGGGTTCGACAGAAAGTCCACAATAAACAAGAAATACAGTCAGAATGTGACCGGTCGTGTTACTTTTCCGGTTCGACTGAAGCCAAAGGCAGGAGGTAAGTACAGTACGCCCCCCGTCGCCGGGTGCAGATGCTGTCAGGCGTACTTACCAGCTTTGGTGGACTCCATGTCCTGTGAGTCTGGGGGTTTCCTCCTCTGCTACCTCGGTGCCAAAGCCGTTTTCTCAGTTTTAGTGTTCAGCAACTGAAAAGTCGCTGATTGGTCCCAGTAAGAGAAACTAACCGTCTTTAAGTTTGAACCAAAGACAGAAGCCTCGTCCAGACCCTACACGCTACGGTCGGCTTTACAAGCAGCCCGGTGGAGATGTACTTTCCCCCTAAAACAACCAGAAAATCGGCCGAGGCGACGATCAAATGTGCAGCGTTCACTCGTTCCTGGAGCTCCAGTCCAGGCGTGTGCGCGACGGCTTTCTGCTCTGTTTCGAGTAGCGATCAGTGTGAAAACCATGTGACCCAGTTCACTGACTCCTCCCTCCCCTCCCTGCAGCTTTGCACTTGTGTCAGTGTAACCCACTGACATACTTTCACCAGTGAAACGGAGCAAAGATACTCGGCAATGTCAGAAAAGACGAGCGGGTTGCGACACAGCATCTCCTCCTGATAGCGTTTATCATATGCTGAAACATTTCATTGAAGTCCAAAAGTTTCAGGACACCTTATATCTATGTGACAGTGCACTGATGTTCCTGCTAAAGCTTCCACTGTGGCCCACTGCAAGTCTGAAAGCTGCAGAAAAGACCACTTTGATTAGATTGAACACAGTCGTGCAGGGACACCAGCATTACTATTACTATTTAAAATGTTTGACATATAGTTCAGCTGCAACATAATATCTTTTTTCTTTCCAAAGTCAACTTCTGCACTTTTGTAGATTTTGTAATAAGTTTGAATCTAGAGAAATGGACATTTTTTTAAATCTCTTTTGTAAATGGACGGTTCGTTTGAGCAAAGCTTTTTCTGCTCCGGTCCACTCACGCTACAAAGAGTTTGATACTGTTCGTATAAAAGATGTAATATCTTCTGGGTCTGAAAAGTGAAAACACAGGTACTTTAAAGCAGTGGTGAAACACTACAAAGGCTGATTTACACCATGGAGCCCTGCTCTAAAAGCTGACGTAGATGCAACAGTTTCTGGGAGCTGCGTCTAAGAAATAAGAGCTGAAAGTTAACGTTTTTTACATCACGTTTAGCACCACTTTGCCATAACGTAGCATCACAGGGTCAGTAGGTTTGTTACGGCTCTTAGACTTACATTACTTTACGTTAGCAAATTAGTGACAGAACCGATAACTCACTCGAAAACAAGGGGACTAAAACTAAAAACTAGTCTAAGACAGGGGTGGGCAAATCCAGGCCCCGAGGGCCGGTGTCCTGCAGGTTTTAGATCTCACCTTGGGTCAACACACCTGAATCACATGATTAGTTCGTTACCAGGCCTCTGGAGAACTTTGGGACATGTTGAGGAGCTAATTTAGCCATTTAAATCAGCTGTGTTGGTTCAAGACACATCTAAAACCTGCAGGGACAGCGGCCCTCGAGGCCTGGAGTTGCCCACCCCTGGTCTAAGAGGACCATATTTGTGCTGCCTCTGGCTGCAGCAATGAGTTTTATGTTAAGAAACCAGGACATACTGTCCCGACATTCACCTGTTAGGTATAATGTTCATGTTGATGAAACACAACTTTATAAATGAGAACAGTAATAACAGGAAAGTTTAGTCTGTACAGGGTTTTGAAAAATCCCCATTTTGACACTCAAGCATTAAGTGCTCAGAATGAAGTCATGTTTAAGAATTGGTGTATAAGACGCCCTGGCTGATATCCAGGCATGGCTCTAACTGTAAATCAGCCCATCTAACAGTTGAGGAACACCCACTCGTGTTCTGCGATTGGATAACAATCTGGTTTGAGTGGGCACCTCTGTTGGTGATCTTTATCAGGTTGAGAATGATACAGAACCGTCACTAAAGCATTTAGATTTGGTACAAATGATGGGCGTGATGACCATCTTTACCTTCCCCGGCTGGCCAACCAACAAAGATTAGTCTGTAGTCTGGGAGGACGAAGCTTGTAAGGAGCTGAAGGATAAAGCAACCACTCTGTTTGTGATTATGTAACAAACTAGAAGGCTACTGGAACAATGTTGTGTGAACAACTCTTCATATTGTAAGATAAAAACTTCATGGGATCATATTAGGAAACTGGTCCCATTAGCTTCAAAAGGCAAATCTCAGAACGTCTTTCACTAAACTAAGTCTTCAGCAAAACAGCAACCTAACAAAGAAATGTCAAAGAGAAAAAAGTAGAAACTTTGACTTTAAGAGTCATGATCTTTATCCAGTAAAATGGAGAACATGTGAGGAAACCCACCAACATCTTACGGCTGAAGTTCGTCCGAATGAGCTCAAGCCATCAAGGACTGAACAACAGCTACAAGAACTGTTTAGTTATTACTTCACAAAGTTGCCCCACAGGATACTGAAAACAAAGGGTTTTTTCTCATAGAGATGTTAATTGTATACTTTATTAAATGAGTAGCTAGCCCATTGGCATGGTAGTTAGCACTGTTAACTCACAGCAAGAAGGCTCCCATCCAAGGACCTTCTTGCTGTAGCTCAGGAGGTAAAGCTAACTGGTTTGATCCCTGGCTGCACCAGTCTGTATGCCAAACATCACTGAATGTGTGAATGTTATCTAGAAAGCACTTACACAGAGAAGGCTTATAAAAAGTGCTTGTATAAAGGGTGAAGGAGGCAAGTCGTGTATAGTGCTTCGAGTGGTCAGACTAAAAGCGCTGTGTAAGAACACTCTACGTCTATCTGGCCGAGGCCTTTACATGTGGAGTTCACTCCGGCTTCCTCCCACGGTCAAACATCCAGGTAGTGATGACAGGTTAACTGGTGAGTCGAAATGTGAGTGTGAATGGTTGTCTGTCTGTGTGACAGACTGTCAACCTGTCCAGGGTGGGATAGGCTCCACCCCCCACCTGCAACCTAAATTGGATAAGCGGAAAAACGTGGATGGAATAAATGACTAAATGCGTCGTTGTATAACTGGGTTGTGCGTTAGGGTACATGAAAGTTGTCTTATAATTGATCCTCCTCTCCTCACCCCAGCTGGTCACATGGCTGCCCCCCTTTCTTCTCTGCATCCATCCTTCTTATCTGAGTTCAGATTCTAGCAGCAGCGCTCTCACTGGTCTGTATGTAGGTTTTTCACACGTTGCTTGAATGAAACAGTGTAAAATGTCATGTGTTGTAGTTCATCTATAGGACCATGTAAATTCAGTAAGTGACCATGTAATTTGTTTAGAGAACGTATGACAGAAGCTTTTGGTTTTATCAGCTGTGGGTTGGTGGAGGTTTACCAAGAGCTAGTGTGACACTCGCACAAATCTCTGATGTTACACAGCAGTGTACTAGTGTATCTGCTGCATCCTTCAGTAAAAATAAATGAACCAAGCCGTCACATGCATATGAAAACAGATGTCAACTGTATCCAACTCTGAACCGCTTCTACTGCTTACAGCATATGAAGCACGTAGCTGGTAGATTTACTGGAACATTCAGAAACTGAAGAGTCACATCTTTGTCAGACTCACTTAGCATAGAGTCAAAACGAGAGTTAAAACATACTAAATATGTGTGATGGTGATTTCTGTCCCTCTGATCACAACTCTGTTCTGTTTTTGGTTAAAGATGTTCACACAAACATCGGAGTAGTTTCTGTGGTTCCCCTGTGAGCCTGCAGCTCACTGCGTGGTCTACAGTGCATCGTTGTTGCGGTTTGTGAACGCCTTCATCTTGTTTTCAGAAGCACGGGGCACGCCTTAAAGCTGAGCAATAAACCTCATTAAGAATGAACACTGTGGATTTTTGACAACCGGCAGCTGTTTTGGAAAAACAGATTCTTCACAATGTTTCTTGTAAACAGAATTAAGTTTCCTCTTCACCTGACTGCCACAGAGGCCGGACTCATACCTGTATGCTGTAGCAAAGACACGTGTCAGTCACTCAGGAATACAACACAGTGTAGAAATGTATGATTTCAGATCTTTTAATGATATCCTGGTGCTGGGCTGTGTGGTTCTTCTCCACCATCATGGTGATGATCGGCTCCTCGTGGTTTCAGGTGCTTCACCCTCACCTGTCTTGTCGGCTCATCCGCAGTATCTCGTCTGGAAGCTCGTTCAAGATTTCTCTCAAATGACCACATTTCACCACCGCTCTGCCAAAGCTTCTGCTAGCCCGTCCTTACCTATTTACTCTCCACTTAGCTGCACTTTATTGAACATTACTGTCAGCTGCCAACTCCCTCCGTGCCTGGCCGACTTCCCCATAACCCCGCCCCTTTACACCTGCCCACTCCACAATAAAGTTGGTCTAACTGCTAGCACCGCTCCAAGCCTGCTCCCTGGCCCCAGCCCGAACTCAACCATGACAGACGCAGGGCCTCACATCTGACTCGAGGACACTTTGTTATGCAGATCATCACCTCTCTGCCACCGTGTGAGACGGTTGGGGTAGTATTGTTTGTGAAGAGTAACAGCTGTGACACCTTTAGTTTTTATGTTATTCGTTTATTTATTTATTGCAATTTAAGTTTTGGTAGATTTCCTGTGATGTCTACTCCTGGAGGGCTTTGGCACCATGTGAACACCTGTGGATGCTTTTGTATTCGTCTTTTTTTCTTGCTGAATTCTGCATTCTGCTCCTGCTCCATCAATCTTGTGAAAAGGAAATGAGTTTTGTGAATCTGTATTTATAAAAAAATGAATGTTTTCCTTCTCACTGTCACCAAAGCACCTGCTCAGAGGGGCCGTGTGATTGTTGGGGTTTCTCTGGATTATTGCAGAGTCTTTACCATATGAAGTGCCTGCGTGACTGTTGTTGTGATTTGGCACAATATAAATCAAATGTAATTGAATTCAAACTCTGATGATGTTTTAGGTTATGGCTGCACGGTGTACACATGAAAGACCTCGCCTCAGAGGGTCACAAGCTAAGATCAGCCCAGTCTCACCCCCACAAAATACAAGCACTGCATAAGGAAGAGCATCCTGTGTAAAACTTATACCAAATCTAATAGATCCACCCACTGTGGGGACTTCTTGGGAAATAAGATAAGATAGAACTTTATTAATCCCTCGGGTGGGTTCCTCTGGGAAATTCGGTAAGGGGAACAAGGATGAAAGTAAATTCACACTAGATTCAGTCAAACACAAAAACTCTAAAACAATGACAGATAATAATAACTATAAGAAGAATATGTTTACGTCTCGATGCTCAGTCATCTATTTAAATAAATCTCCAAAGGTTGATTCTGTTCATCTGGATGTTTTCAGTAGGAGAAACGTTTCATCAGGTGACGTCTCCAGTCTCAGCTGACTGCAGGCTTCCAACCTTTAAACAGGACATTTGCACAATGACTGAAACCAGCAGCACTGAAGGAACAATGGGCTGTGAGGTCAGTTCCTTCATCTCATGACCATCGACG